CCCCCCCCTTCCCCATACTTCTTTTTTTCTGCAACACAACTCGATCTTCTTTCTGCTTTCCAATTTTCTCCATGGCTTCTAGTCCCTGTTCTGGTCTTCCTCATCCAGCTCCTCCTGCTGCTGCTGCTGCTACTGCCCAGTTGCTTCTCCTGTAACTCGATTTTCAAGCTTCAAGCCTCCAGCTTCTTTCTTCCCTGTCACAGAAACCACTTCATGAGGATGCTATATAAGGTAACCTTGCCCTGCTTCATACACAGGGGACATCAGGCCCCCAGCACACATTAAGGATATAAAGATTTTAAAGTACTAAGGCAAATAATACAGAGAGCCCAGCTTGTTCGAGGGATGAGAAAATAGCTTCTTATTCATCAGTCACCATTGATTATTCGTGATTATTCTTCTGCTCTCTGCCCGTCTCGCTGGCTGACTGACTTGAGACTATCCACGACGATCGTCCTCTCCCTGCCGTCTCACTCGCTTTGCACGTGCTCCTGCGCTTTTCCCTCTCGCCCTCCCGCCTCTCTCTCCCTTCTACTCCTTGTCTTCTCCTTGTCTTCTCCTCTCCCCCCTGCTCACTCACGCTGACATCTCTCGCTCTCTTCTCTCCTCTCTCTCAGACGCCACTCATTCCTTTGTTGTTTCTTTTCTCTGTTGTCATACACATACGCATACGCATAGGCATACGCATCCACGCTCTCTCTCTCTCTTGCTTGAATATTCTATTCTCTCCTCATAAAATTCACCTCAATTGGATTACTGCCAGCCCTAATTCTCCGCTCGTTCAACGTGGTATCTCGTGGTCCCCCAGATAGATATATTGGTCCCGTTTTCAAGGGTGCCCTGGCGATATCTCACTCCCTGGTTCCCGTCTTCCTGTTGACAAGGAGACAACTAAATGAAAACGGCACCCTTCCATATATACCTCCGTCGCGCTCGCCACACCCCCCCCCCCTTCCCCCATCCCCTCTTATTTTCCTAGTCGAATGCGCAGAGTGGTGCCATCCACACGCTGCTTCTAGCTAGCTCCTGACTCCTCCCGCGTGTCATGTTTGGCTCTGTTTCCCAGCCTCAAACAACATCGACATCAACAACGGACTCACGACAAGAACACGGACGACATTAATTCAAACAGTTTCCGTCTTCGCAATCTCCTCTTCTTCCTCTCCCGACTCGGAATGCATAGCAACCAAAGTTGTGACCATTTGCCGCCCCAATGTCGTCCACCTAAA